CAAGGAAGCTAGTGGAAGAATGCAAAAGACTTCAGGCAGATGTCGTGAAACTATCAGAGGAAAATAGACATCTGAGAGTAAGTTTGCAAATACATAATAATCCATCAGTAAAATTGGACTTTACTGATTTGTTCATGAAATACAGTTTTAAAAATTGTTTACACCAAGTTGTTTATAATAGTTTTTCTATGCTGGAAGGATAGAATACTAATCCAGTAAATAATAATGGTAAAATACTTGTTTTAAGAAAGGCAGTTACATTTACTAAAATTATAAATTAATCACATACAGTACAACTAATATTTAAAGATTTAAGGTTGTGCTTCCATTAATCAAGACAAATAAAAATTGTGTTTTAAATGTGAATCAGGTTATTTTAGTAGTTTAGTAGATTCTGACTTAGGGATGCCATGGCTCAGTGACTAAGACGCTGATCAGAAAGGTCGGCGGCTCGAATCCCTAGTGCCACGTAAGCTCCCTTTACTTGTCCCAGCTTCTGCCCATCCTAGCAGTTTGAAAGCATGTAAAATTGGAAGTAGAAAAATAGGAACCATCTTTGGTGGGAAGGTAACAGTGTTACGTGTGTCTTTGGAGTTTAATCATGCCGGCCACATGACTATGGAGATGTCCTCGGACAGCACTGGCTCTTTGGCATAGAAACAGAGATGAGCACCGCCCCCTAGAGTTGGGAATGACTAGCATATATGTGCAAGGAGAACCTTTATCTTTAGTCTCTGACTTACAAGTTAATTTAGGCTTAATTTTTTATTCTTGAACTTTCTGTAAAGCTGGAATGGTATTAAAAACATAGAAGTTTCTGTGTGCCATTTTAATCCTAAAGCTGAAATAGGTAGTAATGTTTCCAGTAAATCATTGTTCTCAATTATTTTAAATATTTAATCATACAATTATAGTAATCATATGGATGGAGAAATTTCTTAGTTCCTATTTTCTATTTAAGATTAATATTTTATGCCCCCTTTATGTTAACTATTACTCTTTAAAGTCAGAATGCATGAATAAATAGTCTACAATAGCATTGAAATGCTTCTGTGAATTGCATACTGGTTATATTTGGGTGTGATGTGGTCCCATGATTTTTCTGTTGATTAATTTCCTCCATGTATTTTCAGGATGAAGGCTTGAGGCTGAGAAAGGTGGCACACTCAGATAAACCTGGACCGTCAGGCTTGGCCCTCCGAGATAATGGCTCCAACTCTCTTCCTTCACTCCTTGTTGTAATTGCAGCCATTTTCATTGGATTCTTTTTAGGGAAATTCATCTTGTAGAAAGGGAGAGAGAGAAGCATGCAGAATGCTGCTTCCTTTTTTTTCTTGGCCAGGAAAAAAAAAATTACCTACCACTTCATTGGTAGTATGGCCAAAGTGACCATTTTTGTGTACAGCATCATATAGGCTTTGCCTTTAATGATCTTGCACGGTTAGACAACACGATAAAAAGACAAACTGTTCGGCTGCTGGACAAAATTGTATATTAATTCATTAATAGCAGGTGTCAGTTGCACATTCAGTCCTTTATGAAAACTCATAAATAAAGAATTGTTCTTTCTTTTTGTGGTTTTAATAAGAGTTAAAATTGTTCAAAGTCTTGTAAATGTTATTTTAATAATCCTTTTCAAATTTTATCTGTTATTCTTGCCTCTTGGAAAGAATGATTATTAGAATGCTAATTCGCTTGTTCAGGAAAATGATGAGGCATTCTGTGGGGAAATGTTCCTCTTAGTGTATGCATTTTTTCCTTCACCTTACTTTGCTGATATCATGGCAGAATTTCTTACCCTTGTGAGGTGGTTGTGGAAGAAAAAAATAATCATCCTGACAGCCCTGTCCCATGGTATTTAACAAACAAAATAATAAAACTGTTAACAGACATTCTGATGGGTAGCTTGTTTCTGTGAATTGTTCTTTTAGAAAGATTTTACAACATATGCTATACACAGCCTGCTTCTTGTCACAGATTTATATTGTTCACTAGTTGTGGCTTAGACTGGTGCAAGTGAAGCTTCAGAAGAAATGTAGCAGTTTCCATATTGTGCAGCAGCAGCTGTAAAATTACCTGGCTTTTTAGGAAAAGATCAGAATTTGATTTGTTTTGGGACATGGAATACATACTTTAAATTTACTTTTTAAAAATAGCGTTTTGGGTTTTTCAGATACTTCTGTTGAATCACTGATCTTCCTTTAAATTTACAGAATCAGTTGTATCTTGATTTTTCATCCAGACTAATTTAGGCCGAGTGTCCATAGAATAACATTTCCTATAATGTTTCCAAATAACCCAAAGTTAATACCGATTGAGAAAACATTATCATTTAATTTTGTGAAAAAATTAAGCCTTGTTCAGCAAATGTCTTGGCATAGCTGTCTTAGCTATGCATATGTTAATTCTATAAAATTCATTTTATTTGGTTTGAATATTTTTTCTCCACAATCTTGTGGTTTGTTTAATTTCTGGTATTCACTTTCATTAAATAGATGATTTTGAAAGCACAATACAGCTATTCTACATAATCCATCATAAGCAAGTGTTTGAAATTGATATTTTGGAAGGCTTATACTTATAAGCAGAATTTTATATGGATATAATGAACCAGTGCTATGTAGATTTTACATAGCTGAGAACTGTTCTAGGAAAAATATAAATCTTCTTGGTTGCCTTGGATTTTTAATGCTTTTTTTAAATGGAAGAGCTACTTACGTCATGTACCATCACAATTCGCTGTGATAAATTTTTATAAACATCTTCCAATTTACAAAAAAGTTGATGAACAAACTACTTGCCTGATGTTTCAGTTAAAAGCATGCAAATACAGTTACTCTTTGTGTTTTCTGATATCTGCATTCTGACTTTGGTGACTTGAAGAAGTGTCCTCATATCTGGTTAAAACTTAATTGCTTCTAAAAGCAGTAGTATTGTTCATATTATATTATATAACTGGTACATCAAGAGAAAACATTTATTCCTTGAAGGAAATTGATCACTGGAAGAGATTACAAGGAAGATTTATGTACAGGCTATAACCTCTAGATACATTTAGATATTTCTGTGAAAGAAAGCTTCAAAGATATGTTCACTGTTAAACAAAAGCTACGACGGTTTGCACTGGCTAAATACTTTAGCATTTATTAGCCTGAACTTAGAATTTATTACAGGTAACCAGAACTATGGCGAAACATAGTATGAGGAAGTACTCTAACCTTGGCAGATCTCTTGCCAAAATAAAATAAAGACAACAATAACAAAAGCATTCCACAGCTTATAATATAATGATCATAAGTGTAGAATTAGGGTCCTAGCTGGGCCACTTAGCAGGACAAGGCTTTCAAAGACAAATATTATGGAATGACTCAATAATTACTGTAAGTAGAGTGAGAAAATCCAGTTTGTGGATGCGCTTCTAGTTTTTAATCTTTTCATAACTGTATATAAAATGTAATGCTGAACTATTTCGCTCTCAGGAGTGATTCTGGATGATACCAACTGTATTTAGTGAATTTATGTAATACAGATTAAATTTTCTGTTCCTGAAATGGTTAGAACTTTGCCTGTTTGCTTGTGTACACCAATGTGAGGAACATATTTGTTCCTGTTAGTAAGTGCTTCCATCAGAAAGTGCAGTGTGTTCACTGTAGTAGTTCTTACGTATAGTGAATTATTGGCTCCTGCAGCTTGCATGATGCAAGCTTTATATTTAAGGTTGGCAACTTTGCTTATGGCAAGAAATTATAGCAGAAAGCAAAAGTCCTGAAACATTTTTTCATCTGCTTCTTGCAAAGTAAGAAAGAAGGTCTGTCCAAAATCTGTTTACCGGTAATCGATTTCAAAGAAAATAATTGTGCTTAAGTAACATTAAAATGAGTTTTCCAGTGAATTTCTCATTGCCAAGTCTTTTGTGCATTCAGGTAGTATTAAAGATATTGGGAAAATAACACTACAAATTATGAACTGAGTGAACATTCACAAAAATTGCAAAGGATTTGTGGTACCCAATAGTTTTTGTAATACAAGATATTTTTGTTGTGTTGAATGCAAAGTTTATAAAATAAATTAAAACTTGGTATTCATAAGATGGGAACTGGCAACTACACGCACACAAATGGTTTTGGATTATAATTCTTGAACATCTAAAAGACCTGTATTAAGATTTGGGATTATAGGAGAAACAGAATGCAGAATGCAGAATATACGGAGAGTGCCCCATTAGTTCTTGGTAACGATCATAAAACTTTAACATAGCCTGTTATGCAATCATGTGTATAACATAGGCCATTGGATTTGAATATTATCTTGTTCAGTAAATACTGCCTTATTGGGATATGTTGAAATTTGTGCTCAGATAAGTAATTATATTTTGTGAATCAGTGCAATTGCATAAGAATAGGCATATTCTTATCTAACAGAAAAGACACATGGATAATTTGAGAGGCTGTTTGATTTTGTTCTTGACTTTCAGCAACTGTATTCTTTTATCTAATTTGTGAATTTATGAATTAAAGGAAACCTTTTCCCTGATGATTATCTAATGCTATCTTATTACATGTACTTTTCCTGTATTGTTCTGCCTAATACACTAGGTGGCAATCTATTGCTCTTGTAATAAAGTAACAACATTTGTAAGACCCAAAGTTGTTACTAACAGATTATTTTCTAGTAGCATGGTTAGTTTTCAGGCAAGAAATTATTGGAATTGTAATCCTTTTCACTTGCCTCAATTTGCATCTTTCTCCCTAATGCCAGCGCTAATTATGTGGTGATCATAGAATAATTTCAGACAGCCTACATATATATCAAAAGCAAACTAATTTCTTTCTAGAATTAATGATTCAACACACTGTATCTCATAGATATATTTTGTATTAGAAAACTTTTATTTTGGCATACAGTCTGATTCCAGAAATCTGAAGAAGCTAGACAACTATATTTTCACTACAGAACTTAAATTTAAGATCAGATCAGATTGAACATGTTGTTTGCTGTGTTAATAATTTGTTTGATATAATTTTGAGGTATCACATTTCATACACTCATTCAAATAAGCATTCAATGTAATACAAAAAATAAGTTATCCTGGATTTGATTAATCTAGCTGCTTAAATATAAAGTTTCTCTGAAAAGTTGAATACATTTTGTCATTTGTCTTACTCTGCACTTTTTCAGTTGTATGTAATATTGTGCCATTTCCCAAATATCAGCATATAAACCTTGGTATTCAGTGAAAATGTTCTGAGATTGAGCTGCTGCCTTGATGATCTTGAGTATTTGAGTGCTCTTTTTATGACATCTGTTTCCCTAAACTAGAAAGGATGCCCGGGGAGATATGTTCTTGTGGGTACCACCATTTATCAGTCACTCTGAAAGTGGTTTACATGGAAGCTACCAAAATAAAAATTATAGAGGTAATATATGAGATTATCTAAAGTTATCTCCTTGTGAAGATTTCTGTTTTGCTTATTTCTCTATTATTGTGACTTTTAAGCATAATTAAACTTCTTGAGTTGATAAAATCTTAGTTTGCAGAATTAGATTTATTCTGTTAGTTTGGGTCTGGGCTTGAATAAGAAGACATCTGTCTTGAGCTTGCCTTTATTCAGAAAAACTGCAAGATTGAACATTCTTCAACTCAAAAGTAGAAATAGATCAAATGAGGATTACAGGATGATGAGTGACAAATGGATTGATGCATATGGTTTGAGTTTTCAGTGCCATTCTTCTCATCTTTGTGTTCTTAGTGCTAATGAGACTTATAAATTATTGGGGAAAGAAACAAAACAGAAATTGTTTACTTTATTATAATGTACAGAATTGTACATTATATGTTCAACAATTTCAATGTTCATAAATCTTTCCAAATCTTACATTGCATTTCTCTAAATACAGAAAAATACTCTAGTTTGCCTGTTGCCAATTTCATTTTAACTGTTTTTAAAGTCACTTTATAGAAATGTCTGCAGGAATGCAATCAAAGTTCTGCTTTTTTGTGTGTACCACATTAAAAAATTCAGTTGTGATGCATAAAAACATGTGGTATACATTAGAAAAACTGTGCCAGTCACAACATTGTAGCCACCACATCCTGATTCTTGACCATAGCCTATGGACACCCATCTCCTTTAAGTCAGAGTTGACCAACATTTTTTATACATACATCGGAGTTACATGAACAGAATAGGCAAATTGATGTCGAAAGGACTGTCAGGCTTAGAATTCTAATAATTCCTATTTTCTGATGCAACCAAATTTGTGCACGATCTTTTTTTAATGTAGTATCAGTCCTAAAACAAAAGTTTAGATGAATTGTACGATAAATTAAGTAGTTTGCTTTCAACGTGTTTTTGAAAACCAGTTGCCCAAACTAAATTTAAGACGAGAGCTCATTTTTTAAAAATGACTTTCTCTTGGCAATCTAGATGTTAGTGATATTTTTATTTAGTAGACAACTAGACCTGTTTACACATTTTCTTATTCCACACTTTTATCACGGTGTTTGGCTGTCTGCCCGACTTGTAAATAAAGGACTAATGTTGTTAATTGCGAAGTCGTGTCCAACCCATCGTGACCCCATGGACAACATTCCTCCAGGCCTTCCTGTCCTCTACCATCTAAAATCCATTTAAGGTCATACTGCTGCAGCAACTCCACCCCGCCACCTCATTCTCTGTCGTCCCCTTCTTTTGCCCTCAGTCTTTCCCACCATTGGGCTCTTCTCCAGTGAGTTCTTCTCATTAGGTGGCCAAAGTATTCAGGATCTGGCCTTCTAAAGAGCAGTCAGGGTTGGTCTCCTTTAGGACTGACTGGTTTGATCACCTTGCAGTCCAAGGGACTCGCAGGAGTCTTCTCCAGTACTAAGAAGACTGCAGAGTCTTCTTAACAAATGACTAATATTGCTAGATAAATATAATAATTACTGTGAAATCTATCCATCTTGGAGACAAGATGATACCACTAGATGGCAATATTTTAGTTCTTTTTGGAAGCACTGGAACATTTTTCTGTGTAGCTTTGGTTTCTAGTACAGGCTTGTGCTAATAGTTGTTTTACATAAATCGTCTGTGTTCATTAAAAAACAATCTTACACCATATTCCTTTTTTAAATCCATTACAGAATAGCCAGTATGCACAACTGTAAATTAATGAATATAAAATTTGGATTTGCAACTTTTGCAAGACATAAACAAATTCTAAGTTGGAAATATTAAATGGTAGGTGAAGATTTTATACATCCTCTCAGAATATAAGAACAAAATGAAAATTTTGAATGTTAGCTGCAATATCATGCCAAGTTATTTGTGCACATTCCCTGCTCTTTTAAAAGTTAAGATAATTGGATATAAATTATTTCAACTGTGAATAAGATAAAACTAATTTCAACCAGAATTACTTTGTCAGTGTGTCACTCGCATCGTCACGGCAACGTCACGTGATGTATTGGGAGTTCCCCCTCTTCACTAAACTGGGTGTGGGCGTGGCCAGTATGTGATGCATCTGACTCGCAAGCCAGGAGTTTGACAGACCTGCTTTATGTGCACCATTTTATCTATGTGAATTTGCTAATTCGTACTAGAATGTATTTAATGTTCACTATAGAATGTCACTTTTTTATAAAACAGCAAAATGTTTCATCTTGCAATCTAACAGAAAAATTTTCATAGACTTACACCCTTAAGAGGCTTTGTAACCATGGTTCCTAAGGAATGTTGGGAGTTTCAATCTCAACACATATGGATAGCAAATAAGAGACAGCTGTAGTTGACAAAAACATTTTCTGTGTAGAAGAATTAGTTATTCTTCTAGTAATTAGTTTCATGTATTTAGGGTATTAACATGCTCAAGTTTCCCAAGCACTTTAAATTAGAAAATGAACAGGGGTAAAATATTAGGAAAAAGTGTATCTTACAATTCTTGGGCACATATGTAAATATATATCCAGTTTACAATTTAATCCCAAAAAGTGGAACCATGCTTGAATCCATGCAATTGCAGTCTGCTGATCCCATAGTCCAACATCTTTAAGTGCAGAGGATTACTGTATTGGTTTTAATACAGTAGGTGTAGTTCTGCACACATGTAAGCCCATTTGCCCATCAATATCAGAAAACACAGCTGATTGCATGCAGTGTTCATTATTTAAATGAATGCCTTTAATATAAATGAATTATCTTTTCTTTCTGGAAATTAATATGTGTTTTTGTTTTTTGTTTCATTTTAATGGAAGCTTATAGTTTCATGATCTGCCTTTGATTTTAGTGTATTTTGTTTCTTTTCCACACAATTGGAAGGAAATTATTTAAGCCAGCATTAATGTAAATTTCAGTAGCATACCCAGATACCAGATGATGAAAATTTCAGAGCTCAGTCCCTTTATTAGCATTAAACAATAGAATGCATTATATACTACATTATTTTAATGCAAGATTCAGTTGAAAAACATGATATCCTCATGATCTTCCCTATTAAATATAAAAGTGGAAATTTGCCAATCATCTCAGTATATAAACTGAAATTTTGGAGAGGAAATTGTGTCAATAAACATGCACATAAATCCTCAAATAGTATGTGGGAAGTATATGGAAGTGAATACAGTATATAGTACTGACTGGAAGTTCTAACACATTAAGTTTTCTGTTTCTTACTGTTAAATTAAAAACTAAATTGCTATCTTATCAGTTTAAAAACTCAAAAATAATGGGGTTTAAATACAAGTGTCATTATTGCAGAATTATACATGTTTTCCAAAGTGAAGTAGGTAGGTGATATAATTTTAAAATCATCTTTAGAAATGTTTGAGAAATAATAAAGATCATGATGTACTATGTACTTTTGATTTTCTACATATATTGCTAGCTGTAAAGACTCAAAAATAATATTAACAAAAAGCAATCTTAATAGAATTGCTATTGAGCTTTGACGTAATACCAGGAAAAAAATAGGAATTTTCTTAATTTCATATTCAAATCTTTGCAATGCTTTTAATAATGCATTTTATTAAAAAGGGAATAAATTATAAGCTACTATGTTAAACATGACATATTAAAAGTTTTTAATTTCAAAGGATAAGCTTCACCTTAACTTTTTCTTGCATTTTTAATTCCAATTAGACTTCTAAAATTAAGGAAGTTACAAAATGGCTAAATCATAATCAATATACTGAACTCTTTTTTATAAGATGTAAGAGAATTATCTATTATATTTTATGATATAATGGTGTTTAGTTTATCCATATGCTCTGTTTCATTACTATTTTAGTATTCTTAGTTTTAAAAGTTTCCTTGCAAAGAATGACATTTATTAGAATTAGCCCTGTTTTAATTAATTTCCCACTTTAATAAAATGAGATTCAAGGTAAGTGCAATGAATATGACAACATTTCTTTCATGAAAATATATTTTAAAAATATTTTGGCGGTTAACCGAGAAGTCTTGTAACCTTTGCTCCCCCATTTTACATTATAATTTTAATTACAAGTTATTGGAAATCAGAAAATCATTAAATTATCATATTGAGCAACAATATAAAACATGTCATGTGTTATTATGCATCATTGAATTTAATTTCACAAAATCTTTATATATTTTCAATTTTTGAAGATTTTATATTTCTCATTCAGTTATTTTATTCTAAGCATTTCATACGTAAAATCTATAAAAGTATATTTAGATACATCCATGGTTTGAATTTTTCGTATATACATATGTACATTGTAGCTTAAGAAAGATGCAGTTTTCTAGTATTGGCACTATAAAGGTATAATATCTGATAATTAAATTCAGTGAAAGAAATATTCTTTAATTCAATGGACTGCAACAGCAAAGCTGATGGAAGAAAGGTTGCAGAATATGTTCTGGTTAGTTGTAACAGCTTTTAACATGAAATAAAGAAACTGCAGTCTTAAAGTGCAATTACTATTGTGCAGTCATGTCAAACCGTAGATCGGACTGGATGAAGCTCAAAAAAATGAGTGCTGTTCATGATTCAAATACAGGAAAGCATGAGAAAATAAAGAAAATTCTTAGGCATTCAAGTGCATCAAGAAAATTATTATTCTTGTCTTAAAAATGCCCTTTGCCATTTTCATGGATCCCAATTCCTATATTGCCCTGATCTGAGAAATTTCAAAATGTTCTTCTAGCTGAGAAGGTCCAAGTGAGGCACAATATAAATAACCACCATTGTGGCTAGCATAAATACACAGGAATTGCTTGCTGATGCTCCATTATTATACCACCCTAGAATGTTTTCTTCTAATGTTCCTTCTATTCTTGGGGCTGCTGATGTACACTGGATTAAGGGCATTTGGTAGGAGGTTGCTCTTTTTTCTGGTCTGTCTGGGCTGGATCCATCACTAGGCCTCTGGCCGTTATATAGCAAGTATCTCCCCCTGGCATCCTGCTCCATTTTGAAGATTTCGTATTCTGTGTGAGGCAGACGAATTCCCAAAGCAATACATCCATTTGTGTGAGTCACATCTTGCTGCACCCCAACTTGCCAGGATCCTTCTGCTCCACATTCATTTCCATTGAAAACATTCAGGAGAGAGGCTGTAGCTATATCCATGGGAGTAACTTTCATATGATTCACTGAAAAGAGAAGAAATCTCTCATTATATTTTGAAGTATAGCAATTAATAGTCCAGTCCTGAATTGATGCTATTTTGTGAACATGATCAAAATCCTTACATTTAAATTATAGTTTTCCTTTAAATTGTGCTTTTATACATTAAAATCGATGTAACTGTAATGGGCCTAAAGTTAATTTATTTCAACTCTTGCTCACCTCCAGCATTCTATTTCCAAGATCCTTTCAAAAAGTCAACAACTATTCCACATTTTTTTTCCTTTTAAGCAAATGGTTTTTAGATACCGCTTTTTAAACTAGGAGATTCCATTAGAATTCATGATTAACAGTTGTATCCTCTATCAATATGGCTAATATTTAGAGGTGCCTAAATTACTGTCTGTTACATCTTGCATAAGCATTGGTATGCACCAAGTGAAAATTATCTCAGACATAAAAGCAAAGTACGCAGATATTCACTATTGCAAATACATTACTTGTAATTTTAAGTATTAAAATTAAGCAGCGTATTTTGAATAATATAACGATATTCACAATATATGCTCAGTATTTAGAAATAGCCTTAAATGATGCTTTGAAGGGACCTAAAATGTCATCTCTCCATCTTTATGTCTGGACATTATTGTTTGTTTCTCCTCTGTATTTCTTTATTATTCTAGTCGGGGTAATGAATGCAGAAGCTTGACTAAGAACAAACAGTTGATCTAATTGATGGCAGTGCTTCCACAACAGGACAATTCCCACCATGTAGAAAAGTGTATTATTGCCCTTCCTGAATAATTGCTGAAAAACTGATGCAGTGGGGACAGAATGCATTTCATGAAGGTAAAGATAGCATTCTTTTTAGATCCATCTTCATTATGTCCCTCAAAGTATTTTCACATTGTAGCTACTGAGTGTATGCGTGAAAAATATGCTGTGGAGAAAAATCTAAAAATGCTCCAAAGAATTAGTTTCTGTTTGTGACAGTACTGGATTAGTACTCTAGTTTTTAAGAAGCAAACAAGTGGCATAACTATGTTTGCAATATTAATCATGACAAATCACAGTTGCCTACTGATCTGTGAATATTAAATGATATCCCTGGAACACTCTAGTAATTTTGTTGTAGCGGTGCTCTGCTGAATCCAGATGGTCCCAGAGGTCATCATCTTGCATCCAATATGTGTGGATATTGTGAAGCCAGGAAAGCAATGAGCTGGCAGTTTTGAATGGGTTTTATTCATGAACAAGTATTTCAATAATGCACTTTTTAGAATTGTAGCATGCACAGTTTACCAATACATAATTGTGTTGCTTAATACTGCCAAGGTTTTGTGAATGTCCTCTGAGTAGATTGCACACCTGAAACTTTCTTTTTATGAGGGTAGTTGCATTTGATTTAAATGGAGGGAGCTGAATGAAATATAGAAATAGATAAGCTTTTAGGAGAAATTGTTACAAGAATATTTTATGTAGGTTATGTAGGTTATTTCTTGGAAAATTAGATCAAGAACAAAGCCTTATGGCTTCTTTTATTAGTACAAAATAGCACCAGGAAAAAAGATTATTTCAAAAATGAGATAAATGTAATTTGCAGTTTGATTTTTAATAATTGTACATATGAAATTCTTAGACATGCAGAAATCCTATAATTTTATCTCACTTGCTGGCAAAAAGAGTAAGGTGAAATAAATTTATTTTCCTTCTCCCATTACTTACAAATAATCAGTATGTAGACAATGTTTTCATATGATGTAATTCTACTTTTTTCTAAAATAGAAATGTAATTCAACAAATTCATATCTTTCACAATTTTAGAATTAACCATAAAATGCATGTACTCTGTAGAATATATCTACTCATTAGTCACTATATTTACAATTTTTGACTTATTTTTGGATCAACTGATTTACTCATTTGTAAAACAACACAAATGTTTCTAAATGTATTCAATAAACTACCACAACTCAAGGTTTGCACATAACTATGCCATTTCAAAAAAGAGCATTTGATTTCTTGGAACAAAAATTGAAGATAACTTTTTTTTTTGTTTCTTAATGCTCTTGGCCAGTCAAACTTATAAACTGGTATTTATGGAAGTATTGTGGAGAGCGAATGATGCAAAACTTCAACTAAATTTCTTTTAAAAATTGTAATCAAATGGGAAGTAGGCATCAGATAGAATGGCAGCCATTATCCTCTTTTGAGCCTTCATCTAGCATAATTTCCTGAGTAAAGATAATGTATAAAGACCACTGTTGTGGAAAAATAAACTTGGTTTATATGAGCCAAGTTATTTTGATTCTGAGAAGAATGACTAAATGTAATTTAAATCATTTTAGTTTTGTCTTCCAACTGAACCTTCCTACTTATCTCCTCCTTAAGAAGATGCATGCCCTTGCTATCTTTTCCCTTTAATAATGTGCATATTTTAACTTTCCTTGATTAACTGCCTTTACTTGCCCACCCTCCAAGACTGTTAACTAAATTACAATAATACAAATGGGCAAACAGAAGCAGTGTAACCACCTGATATTTTTTGACAGAAAACAAGAGAAAAACAAAAACCCACTGGTGTACTAAGCCCCTTATCAGGTTTAAAATTATTCCCCACAACCAAGAGGAGGAAACACATGCCTCAAATTCCATCTCTTTCAGTAACTTTATTGCATTACCATCTCACCCAGAATGAAAGAATCTGAACCTGAAGAGAATAGAATCTTACCTTTAAAGACAAATTCTGTTCCTCCCATCACTTTGGTTGAATGTACACCCCTGCTGTAACGGCCTTTTGCATAAATAGTGAAGGTGGGATGCTTGCATATTGGATCAGAGTAATGATAGTAGTGACCTTCCCAGGTATTATTGTTGTCATGGAAAACGAAATGTCTAGTAAGAAAGAGCACTTCAGGACGTACTTCACAGCGATGGCTCACCCATTCCCCATGTAATCCAATAGTCAAATCTGCCTTTGGAGGCAAAATTGGAGGATGATGTTCATCTGATCGATAGATGATCCTACATGCTATACACGAATGGTCATGGTTCTGAAAGTTTAAAAAAAATGGCCATTTAAAAAAAAGTATGAAATACAATTCATTTCATAATGCTCATAACCTTTACATATCATATGGGTCATGTGCTTAAATGTGGCTAGAATCTAAAATGAGACAAAACTAGAGTTGCCTGCTTAAGAGATCATGGTGCTTGAAAACTTTCATGCTAGAAATAAATCTTCAAACTTTTTGTTTAAAAAAAAACCTTTGAGCATTCACAAGCCTTAGTATTTTAAGTTAATGGTGAAAATAAACATTTTGATCTTTCTTACAACTTATGCAAGAGATGTATTTTTTTCCTTATGGTGGTCTATAAGTAACAAAGTTAAGTCATCCTAATTCCTTGATAAATGTAATTTTGCATAGGACAGGTTAGTGAAATGACCCTTACCAAAAACAAGTTTTTTTCCTTGCCAAAATACTGTACCTCAATTCAAGAAAACTTTGTTTAAAGAACCACTAAATTTTCAAAGAAGAAAAACAAAGCATATATTAGGTAATAACATTGATTTATGTGAAACCGCTTAGATTCTGCATTTGAAACTGTACTGTGCTATGTTAAGGATGTAGAATCTGGAAATGCATGAGACAAACTGAAATCTATAAGCAAATTTATTAAGCAAACTTGATATTCTACAACAAAAATCAAAACTTTTCACTTGATATAGTGAAAATACTTTATACTTTATATAGTTCTTAATTACAAGTCATTAATCCTGTTTTATGCATCTGCATTATCCCATTTCACAGATGCAAAATATTGTGTTTTACACGTGGAACCATTTCAGGAGAATAAGCTTCCTTTTTCTATACTTAATCATCTCCAAATGCAAAGTATTAGTTTCCTCTATTTAATATAGATTATAAAATGAAATACTATGTTAAATCCCAAGTCTTACTCAAAGCCACTTCTCCATAACATACATTCTTACCAGACTACTAACTTGAAAATGATGAATAAACTACTAAATGAAAGTATCAGAAACAAAATAAGGAATTAATATTTTGACGAGAAGAAAAAAGAGAATTACTGTATTTTGTAACACTGACGCATACAATCTGAAATTATAATACAGTATGTGAATCCTTTTCATAAAGACAAAGGCTTAAGAAATGCAATTTAGTTTTAAGAAAAGTAAATTCTTGGAAGAAAAGTAAATTCTTTTTTATTCCTGTCTCCTTTTGCTCCTTGCTTATTCTTTCTTCCTTTCAATGATGAGAAATTAAAATGCAGTTCAAGAACTGCAGTTTAATCGATTTTTTTGAAGTATTGTTGAGACCAGCACTTTAAATAAAAAATACACATGTAATTTGCTTTTTTCATAACTTTTTCTGAATGTGCTTATGGTAGCTTTTTATTCTAGATGATATTATACTGATTAACAATAATAAATTCCTTGCTCAGATTTAGTGAGACTAAAATAAAGTGTTTCAGGAATTATTTTTCCTGACCTTTTCTCTATATCCCAGCATGCTTCAATAAAAATGTCCAGATGATCTGATGCGTATCAGATTTTATCCAATAACCTGTGTCAAGCTATTACAGTTCTAGTTTGTTGATTAGGAACTAATTTGATTAAAAAGTTAAAGAGTTATGAACAGGTAATAGAACTAAGAATAGTTTATTTGCTTTAAAATAAGTACTTAATTGTGAATCTTGAAGCTCATAAAAATTGAGTTACAAATATTGAAGGAAAAAGACATGCCAAGTAAGAATTATTCTGTATTTTATATTGTATCAATGTTAGCTCTATCAGGCATTTGGGAGTAGCCATTACTCCATTATAGAATTATTTTTGGTGATGAGTCACTTAATTTTGAATAGGGTGTTTTTAAAAACCATTCTTTTAGATCTTCAGTGTACTTTGATAGTTTGAAATGCTTACATGTTATTACAAACTACAGCACAGCTTTAAAAACAACTAATTTGTGAGATTAAAAATATACTGTCACCTAAAACAATATATTGCAGAATTAATATATCTTAATCAATGCGGTTCAGACATCATTACAATAGTTTATCAGGAGATTTTCTTGTCCTCATTTATTTATTTGCTGATTTGCAATCATATTCCGTGTAATCCAGTGGTGGGTTTCAAATTTTTTTAGAACCTATTCTGTGAGTGTGGCCTATTTTATGGGTGTGGCTTGGCAGTCATGTGACGGGGTCAGTATGGCCAACTTGACATCACTCATGCATACTCAGTCACATGACCACCACCCCCAAGCCATGTGGCAAAAACTTTTGGGATTCCTATGAAGGGGGTGGAGAGAGGGGAAAACCTCCCAAAAATAGATAACTGGAGGATTAAGGGCCTAAATTAGGGAGATTGGAGAAGGCAGGACAGACAGGAATCCAGTAGAAAGCTATCACATGCTGGTGAAAGAACTTTGGGAGATCGGAGGAGGCAAGAAGGGGGGAATCCAATAGAAAGCTATCACACGCTGGGGAAAAAACTTTGGGAGATCGGAGGAGGCAAGACAGAAGGGAATCCAGTAGAAAGCTATCACACTCTGGAGAAAGAACTTTAGGAGATTGGAGGAGGCAAGACAGAGGGGAATCCAGGACAAAGCTACCACACTCTGGGGAAAGAACAGGGGGGAATCCAGGACAAAGTTATCACACTCTGGAGAAAGAACTTTGGGAGATCGGAGGAGGCAAGAAGGGGGGAATCCAATAGAAAGCTATCACACGCTGGGGAAAAAACTTTGGGAGATCGGAGGAGGCAAGACAGAAGGGAATCCAGTAGAAAGCTATCACACTCTGGAGAAAGAACTTTAGGAGATTGGAGGAGGCAAGACAGAGGGGAATCCAGGACAAAGCTATCACACATTGGGGAAAGAACTTTGGGAGAATGGAGGAGACAAGATAGAGGGGAATTCAGCAGAAAGCTACCACACTCTGGGGAAAGGACTTTGGGAGAACGGAGGAGGCAAGACAGGGGAATCCAGTAGAAAGCTATCACACTCTGGAGAAAGAACTTTGGGAGATGGAGGAGGCAGGACAGAGGGGAATCCAGGAGAAAGCTACCACACTCTGGGTAAAGAACTTTGGGAGATGGGGGAGGCAGTACACTGGGGAATCCAGGAGAAAGCTACCACACTCTGGAGAAAGAACTTTGGAAGATCGGAGGAGGCAGGACAAAGGGGAATCCAGTAGAAAGCTATCACACTCTGGAGAAAGAACTTTGGGAGATGGAGGAGGCAGGACAGAGGGGAATCCAGGAGAAAGCTACCACACTCTGGGTAAAGAACTTTGGGAGATGGGGGAGGCAGGACACTGGGGAATCCAGGAGAAAGCTATCATACAATGGAGAAAGAACTTTGGGAGATCTGAAAAGGCAGGACAGAGGGGAATCCAGTAGAAAGCTATCACACTCTGGAGAAAGAACTTTGGGAGATGGAGGAGGCAGGACA